AAATGAAGAAGAAAATAGAATAAAAAAAGATTGGGGAGAGGATTACGTGTATCGGGAATAACGTAGTATTATCATAAATTCCGGAAAAGGTTCACCCACTTTCGCCTCTAAGCTTTTTGTGCTGTAGAAGTAAAAGAGGAGGGAAGAAATCTGGAAAAGAATAGCGTAGTCTGAAAACGTGGTAAACAATCAATTCCAAAAATTAATTTGCGCGTGTTTCACCCCTAAGTTGCATACAGAAATAGAATGTGAAAATGCGGAAGGAGCCAGGTTCGTGAAGAACGTGAACACTTTCCGGAAACAGTTAATAATTTTAAACTTCCCACACTTCTATTCGCAAGTGCCAAAACTAAAATTTTTTCAGCAATATGCGGCAAACTACTGGGCCCAGAAAGGGATGCCGAAGAATAAAATAATAATAGGAATTCCGACCTACGGTCAAGGATGGACATTGGCGAATCCTTCGCAGACAGCAATCGGATCACCGGCTATTAGAGCGAGTGCAGCATCGTCGACAAATCCAGAAGGCGGAACAGCTGCGTACTGGGAGGCCCGTGATTCTGTTCTGCATTATTCATTGACCCCCCAAACTGCAGTTCACGTTCAGCTTTCAATATAAGCATAACTGCAGATCTGCGATTATATAAAAAGTGGTGGCAATGAAACTGTGAACAGAGAGGGCGTCGGTGCGTATATGGCCAAAGGAAACCAGTGGTATGGATATGATAATCCAGAAACCGTCAGAATTAAGGTATGATCTGAGAGTGAGTAGCTGCCGTTACTTTCAGTTAGCGGCTTAAAACTCGTTGGTGTTTTTCAGCGACTTTCCCTCATCTGCTTTGTGTAATACTGCGAACACAGATAATAGATCCAAATAACATAAATACCGATGGGCATGTTGGAGAGCAAACTCTTTTCATCCCTTAGCTGTAAATACAGACGAAGCAGAGAGGGCGAGTAGAAATGAGAGTTATTTTGTCCTTCTTCTGACAGGCTGACTGTTCTGGCGGACCATTAGCCAAAATAAAAAAACCAGGGCGTTTTCACTCTATATAAGTTTGTTCCTGTTGCTCGTGATTTTACAAAAATAAATCAAAATAGGTGTTCATGGTGCTAATAAAAACTGGTCGACCGTTTGGGGGTCTAGCAATCCTTTTCGTGTTACTTATGTATAGATGTGGAAAAATTTTAGGCTTTTTCTTCGTCTTTTCCAATCGCAACAAAATTCATTGCTTCTTAAAACACTTGCGTAAGTCACACAGTGATAGATTGGCTAGTTCTGAAGGAAGTATATTACTGGGAAGTTCATGTACGTATGCTGCAAAACATGTTGGTTTTCCCAGGCTCGTTGAGGGTGCTGTGAAATTATCTGTATTTTGATTACTTTCTAGTGGAATATTATTTTTCTGTTGAGAAAAAGAAATGAACAAATATCCTCTCCTTTCATCTTTTCCGGTGCGGGTGAGTTGAAACTGCTGCCTGTGATAGGATTTTAAAATGGAACCAACTTGAACAAAAGCGTATAAAAGTGACCAGCGTTAAACTATGGCGCAAAAAAGTAGCTCTCGAGCACGGATCATATCCAGAATGATTAATGAAAATGGTCCGCCAGAACACGACTCAGGTATTACATACACAGAAATTCTGAACACTGTCCCGGTACAGGCAGGAGAGGCAAATGAGTGAGGCTTTGAATAACTGCCGTAAGCAGTCATCGCACAAAAAGTTAGTACT